AATCCATGTATCAATGTCATGTTATATTAAATTCTATATCATCAAGATCTAATATACGACTAATTGTAGAAGGTATGAAAATGAGAGATTAGATGGGATTATCTAATAATAGTGGATAATGAAACATTTACTTTGTATGCTTGAATAATAAACTCCATTAATACAATTGACAGTGTTTATGATATAGAAAGTACAAAGGAAATATGAATAATTACTCATCACTCTCAGTAGGTATACCGTGTTTGATAGAAAACAAAGAAAGTCTTTTCGTTATGTTTTAAACGTGTACAATTTGTATATTCTTTTGTTTCTATCAGAAATGAAGCCGATTAATTGATTTTGTGAGTCTTCACATTTTTTCCGTGCATCATGAACAAAATGAACACAAAAGTAGAAAACTTCATGTTTTAGGAAAGACATTATCTAATAATTGGTTTCGTGTTCTAAACATTGTTTGTAAGTTAAGAAAGATTCTGAATATAGCAGACGTATCGGAAGAACTACCGGAGAGTCGACTGATAAAAAAAATGATAAGAGGCAGATGTAATCCAATAGAATAAACTCTTTCTCCTAGAGCATTGTACATCATAAGTTTGTTTATTCTTCTCTTATTTTTCAGACATAACAGTTAACATTCAACCGTCCGATATTATTGTAGAAGCTGGTCAAAGTACCCAGTTTAGTTGCAATTTTACCGGAAAAAAGCGTGTTCGACGCGAAACAGTAACATGGTTAAAAGGTAGTAAATAGTAAAGACGCTAAAAAAGAAATTTATTTTAGCTTTACATTTCTAATTTAGATGATCAACCTATCGCTGTTAACCAAGGAGAAATTATCTCAACATCTGAATATCCAAATGTAACAATGACCGTCTTGAAAATATTTTCATCAAAACCATCCCATACTGGTAAATATCGTTGCACAAATGGTCGTGCACTGGCAAAAGAAGCTAAACTTTATGTTAAAGATTCACAAATGAACCGTTTATTTCATTCTCTTTCGTCATCATCATACATTGTCAAGATAAGAACAGTACAACAATTATTTAACATAACTATTCTACTATTCTTTTTACTTATTTTTTTATAGTCAAAAATATAAGCATACAGTTTGGCAACTAAGTGAGTGACACTCTAATCAGATGGTGCAACTAGAAAGAGAGAGAGAGAGAAAAACGGTCAAGTTTCTTCTGTCTCCATTTTTATTCTCTTTCGAAGATGATCTAATCAACTTGAACAAAAAATACAAGAGATGATTTATTATTGTATAAAACAAGCATTCTTAATACAAAACAGACTTCATGGTCAAATATAAATGATGTGCTAAATAAAATTCCTCAAGGAATTATAAATCTCCTTTCTAATGTTGCGCAAGAATTAAACAGCATTCAAAACTATAAAATATTCTCTCTAATAATGAAGGATTCTGTTTACTCTAATTTAAATAAGTTGACGCGAGAACATTTGTGTGGAAGAAATGAATATTTTCTATTATTAAATTTCTTGAACTTTTATAATAAATAATCAAACAAAATTTCACTCATAAAGATAGTTAAATCAGATGAGATATGACACATTTTTATTTCATGTAAGTGCTCAACTCTCAACTTCTCAACTCTTTTTGATAAGTAAACTCTTTCTCTCTTCATCTCAGCTATTTTCTTCACATACGTGCATACTTTTCAACACAATCTAAGCTTCAAAGGCCATTTTTCTTGTCACCTAACAATTCAGCATAAATTAATAACTCCTATCCGCATGAGTCGCCTGATAATTTTTTAGGAATTGAAGTTCTTAATCCAAATACACAGTTTTGATAATAAACGTTATACTGACGATGAAACTCGGATGAAAACAAATTTTCCGGTACTTTATTTAAAAAAATGTATTGTTCAATGACGTTAGAGTGATTTTGAATAGTTAAGAAAAGCATTGGATCATGATAGTACAGTCGTGGTACCGAAATTACGGGAAAAGCATGGACAAGACAGTTATCATTCTGTAAGTATGCGGAATTCTTTCAAGATGATTTCATTGAAGAAAGATGAGGTTTCGAAAAATTTATAAATAAAAATTAATAGACATTTACTGGCATAAAATGAACGATCGTTACATGTATTTCTGTTGATCTTAATATGTTGCAGAAAAAATCAAAACTCTTAAGAAAGATTAGAAAATCTGAACGTTGGATCCCTTAACAAAAGAACATTACTACAATTATTTTTTACAGTATATATATCTTGTTAAATGATATCTTTCCTTCGCCTGTCATACTAACCATTGGGTAAACGAGGATTTGATCTCGCATAGAATCGCTCTGATTAGAGGTAGGGCTGTCAGATTTAACGTTAATTAACGTTAATTTTCGTTTAACGTTAACGTAAAATACGTTAACGTTAATTTTAACGTAAACGTAAACTACGTTAACGTTAATTTTAACGTAAACGTAAAC